TATATGGGCATCGTTATTGAGAAATCAGATGTTTCTGAACCTACCACTGATGTTTAAATGAACCATGTGTGATCTGCGCCCATTTTGTATTGTTTCATAGAACGTTTGAACTTTTTTTATTTATTATCTCCATATATCATTTCTTTTCTTTCGACCAAAAATTACGATTGTGCATACATGTATCTCAACAACAATTATAGCAATGATAAAGTAACGACACACCCGAAAAAAAAAAAAGATTGAGAGGAAATGGTATTTTCAGGAATTATATAATTTATTGCCAGTGAATGCACATTTTGAAATCCAAATTCTGTTTCTACAGAAATATGCAAACACATATTTTGAAAAATAATTGTAGTTTTACTGAAATTAATATTTCAATAATTTTCTTTGTAGTACTAAGCTGTTCCTATTTTGGCACTAAAAACGTTACAACTTATATGCAATTAAGTAATTTAAGAACAAAACACCCAGAATACTTTTTTGATTGAGAATGTTGTCCCTAGAATACTTTCTACATATCTTTTAATTTAGTAAGTTTGAGCATAGTATGAGTGAGGTTACGGCTTCTTAAAGTTTGCCTAATAATATTTAATTGGGCTTGATTCAGTCCTGTTCTAAAGAAGTAAAAGGTACAGATTTAGTTTGAGGAACCTTCTTGTGCTTTCTGAGTTATGACATGCTTTAGCACGTAAATCGTTTTAAGGGGAATACTAAACAAGAAAAAAACATATTATTATTAAAATCTTTAGGTATCCTCCGATAAATACGAAAGTATGTTTCTAAATTGCAGCCATTATATTTATTTTAAATGTTTTAGATAACTTAAATCCCAAATAGAAACTTAATCTAAAGCAATTCTGGAGGAGGTTTAGGGTAGAAAACGATGAATGAACATACAAAATATCCTGCTTTAAAAGATGAAGTGGAAGTCCTGATATTACTCAAATCGAAAAAAGTTCTATGAAATCTAAGGTTATAAAATGCATAGATGCATTTTAGTTATTATAAAAGTAGGCGAGGACAACTTAGTTGTACAAAGTACATCAATCATAAATATAAAAAAAAAATTGCAAGTTTATCATATTTTTATTGTATTAAAATTTACCCTACCATTTTATTTTTTGAATCACTGTGAACATGTAATATGAAGAATGTGTTCTGATTAAGAAGAACACTTGTTCCATTCTCAATAAGTCTTATCTGAAAATAACTAATGGTTGGTGAGAAAACAACCCCCAGCTATCTGCAAACGTCAAAAAAAAGACTTAAGTCTGAATTACATGTAAATAGAATGATCAAATAAAATGACCCTAGAAAAATATTTGATAGATATTTGGAAGTAATATCTACCGGTATATGATTTTACTGCATGGAAACGATGCATATTTCTTTATCAATCATCTCATTTCAAAGTACTGGAGTATTTAAAAGTATGAATGTCCTTCTAACATTAAAATGAAATTCTTCAACAAACATCTTTTCAGAGACTTATAAAAGGTTAAAAAAGAGTGTACTTCATATCTTTGAATTACCAAATGTTAAACAAAAAACCGCCCAGGGTATAACTACATTTTTGGTGTTGTCGTGTAAACAAAGGTTATAACTAATACTAGTGAGCAAAATATTCATTAAATCATATTTAAACATTGTTGTTTCATACAGGTTAATCAATTTATTATTATTATTATTGTATATTGACAATCAAGGTCAATGGATTAGTTCACCTGTTGCAATGTTCACCTATTTTCTATTATCTGTAGCGACATCTTCTACCGAGGTAATTTCCTCAAGTATTAAGAGTAACTTAAGAAGCGGCAGATCCTACGGAGTGGCTGATAGATTTTTTGATTTGATGTTAACCTTGGTCGACCTAAGTACTATGAATTATCCACGGTTTTAATAAAGCCACCTTTTTATGAATGAAATGAGACCGAAATTCCCAGGTCAGCTCTGAATAGGCAGGTGAAGATTTTGAAGTTTCTAGTATCCCCGCCTATGACGTCACAAGCGAGGGTACTCGCCTGTGAAGACAAATATAATCTCCTTTGCTTGATATCCGTACTTCATTCATAATTTTTTTCGTTAACTTTCTCATAACCTTTATATCAATTCATTCATAAAACCAGTGAATAAAGCTCCTCCCCTTTTGAATCCGACCAATCAGAGGTAACGGAATAAAGCCTAAACGTAACTGGTTTTCATAAATATACTGGGTAACTATGTTTTCTAACAAGTGAAGAATCTAAATTTCCGATTTACGAAGCTGTTGGAAATTTTGAAATAGAAAATTCCAATGAAATCTAATATTTTTGACATCGAATATGCAAGTTCTTTTGCTATGCAGGTAAGTCACTTTGCACTGAATTTTCTTTTATTTCATTTTTTTTATTTAAATTGAATAAGTAAATTTTCCATACTTCTCACAAGGAGAACATTTAGAAGAGTTACTAAAAGGCGCTAAATAATGATCAAAATATTGCAGGTTGCATATGACATGGAAAATGTAAAAAAATCTAAAGAAAAGCATGCACAATGTCCACATTGCAAATACAGTACAGATCGAAAGAACAATCTTAAACGACATATTATAACGATGCATCAGGATTCGTCCAAGATTTTAGAATGCTGTGATGTTGTCTTCCAATCGAAAGCCCTGCTGCGTGAGCATGTCCTCTTAAACCACAGATCAGGATACGTATGTAAAATCTGCAGAAGGAACTTTTGCCGGAAAGCTTTGCTTCGACGACATTTATCTGTCCATAATGGACAGAAGGACTTCCGTTGCTCTTTGTGTTCCTACGCAACTAGTCATAAAAGTAATTTAGAGAGGCACCAAAAAATTCACAAGAGACCAGGTGAAATCCCCGATGCCGCAGTGAAAACAGAATTTTCTGATTTGGAAATGAATGATTCGTTCCAAAAATTGTATCCTCAAAATAACTCCAAACAACAAAAACAAAATCCTTTAGCAAGAAAAATGCACACCAAAATCGTAGCAAAATACCAATCCTTTTTCCATCGATGTGAAAACTTTCTTGAAGAAAACCAACAAAATGAAACAAAATCAAATATAATCGAAACTTTTCAGGATAACAGCATGAATCAAGTGAGAAAAGAAACCATGGAATGTCAGGAGAACTCGAGAGAGCATAACAGTATTACCCATACAACGTCAGTTAAAAGGTTGTCATGCCGGCCATATAAGTGTAGTTTATGCAATAGTGTATTTACTAGTCAGCACCAAGAACAGGTGCATAGCTGTGTTCACAAAAAACACGATTTACCTAATGTCCCTATCATGTGCATGATTCATAAAGGTATTGCGCCTGAAAATAAGTATAATTTTAAGCCTTAGAAATGTTTTTTGTTTTTGTTTTTTGTTTTTGCTTTTTTTGTTATCTACATGAACGATTAAATATTTTTATTACTTCTCAGGGATTTTCTTTTTCTATGTGGGGTTACGAGGAGTCACGGTATTCAAATGCACACTCGTTTGTAAAAACTGAGCAAAAAAAAAAAAGAATTGCTTTTCAATCTACCTCTTTCTGGATGCAGATGGTTTTCTGGTCAAAGAAAAGTCCTTCAACATTTGTGTTTAGAATATTTTAATGGATTTAAAATTATTTTATTGAAATCAATTGAATTTCACAAACATTTTATTGATATCAACTGAATTTCTTCAATTTAAAAATTTTTCGGTCAAAATTTGAAACTATATTTATGAAGATAGCAAACAATTATCATACCCTAACGATCATTTGAACAATAAAAACAGATCTCTAAGACGTCAGAGGTGGGATCAGGTGCCATGTAGGAGTAAGCATCTCCCGCAGTCACATCTGCTATGTGGTCCTTGTCATGACGGGAAAACAAACGTAAATGTGTAAATCATGGCCGAACAATGAAAATGAAAATGTCAGTCAGAATTCGCCTAAATAATTTATTGTATATGTTGATGACAAACAGAACTGGCAAATGATGACTTTAACGAAACTGTCCATATTTTTTCATCAAAATGTTTATCAGTAGCTTGCCTCTTTTAAGAAATTTTTCGTTGACAGAGCATTCTTTTAATCAACTATGAGGCATAAACTCCGTATGCATAAATTTTTACGTGTATCTTAATACGAAATTAAGGGGAATTGATGGTTGAAAATGAATTTTTTTGAATAAAATATCCATGAACGAATGTGTCAGACTCAGTGATATCTTTTATTTCAAGCTCACCAGGGTTAATCAAATCGACATATTAATGAAAGTTACTATTGTAAATTGATCATTATTCGTGATAATATCAAAATGTCAAAAAATAGACATATTGTCGAAGACGTGGTCTCCAAAAACAACACAGATAATGACAATTAAAACCTCAAGCATATTTTTGATACCAACTTAGAAACAAGTACTTATGTGTACAAAAAGACTTAAACATATACAATAATCCTTGGAAATACCAATGACAAGGTAAGGAAATTTATACACTGAATTGACGATGGATTTTCCTTTTTTTATTGAAAGGACGCAGTAGTCATAGATTTCAGAGAGTCTGGACTTTTTAAAAAGAAGGCTTAAATAACTTATAACGGAAATACTTGTGTAATATACCTATTTCGAGTGTTGAAAAGCCATTTGTTTTCATATATGCGCACAACTAATTCTTTTCTTTTGCGTAGTATACAGTAAGCTAAACGATTCAAATTTTCAATTTGTGTACAAAATGTAGTAAAAGTTTGATAATTTTTATATATTCTTCTTTGAAAATTTATTCGACTGTTATTTTTTTGATAAAACTGAAATAAATTGGAGAGGGTGCAAACTTTAGTATTATTTTTTTGCTTCTCCTCACCGAAATTTAAACTGCGTTAATTAACTCAAAATGGCGATCAAAAGTAACTTATTAATATTTAAACTCTATTCAATAAATTACAGCCCTTTTTTATTTGATATATAGTTGTATATAGATTTTTTCTTCATTTCATCAGAAAGGGGTTATTAATGTTTAAAAAGTTCCAAACTGAAACATTCATTTATATTACGTTATTTATCAAAATTATTAAATCACTTTCTACTTCAAGACATCAATATATTGAGATTTGGCGAGAGAGCATAAATGTGTAATTAATGAAATTAGCTTATGCACTTACAATATTTGTATTTGATTTATTTGGATTTTCCGTTATTTTGGTATCATGTCAAGGAGAACATGGCGAATGTGACCGGACAGCAGGGGATGCTCACTCCTCCATGACACCTGATCCCACCTCTGATGTTTTAGAGGTCCGTGTTTGCTCTGCTCCATTTTGTATTGTTTTATGGACTTTGATATTGAATACTGTTGTTTTCTCAAAATCTTTATGCATTTGATAAATGTTGTGAGCAATTAGCTGAGGAAGGGGTGCAATGTTTCTTTTGATTTCTATGGGAACTCCCATATTACGGATCAAAAAGTAAAATGTCGGCTGAATAAAAATCGGAAAGTTTCATCAAATTTCATTCAGTGGTATGCAGAGTAGTCCCGTTAATTCCCCAGGACACCGATGCATTTTAAAGTTACAAGTCTCTGATATTCAAGACATGTACTCTTTATTTTGACCCGTATAGATTTGTTGTCTTTTAGGGTAGCTTGCAGAAAATTCTCAAACTTTATCATCTGGAATCACATTGTGTGCATATTTTGGTGAGAAAAGCTGTATGATCATGCAATTTAAGAGCGCCTGCATATTCCTTGTGATTCCTATCACGTACAAGCTTTCGTACCAATAGGCCTAAGTAATTCTTGACTTCGATCTAGTCAATACTTTTCTTGAACAAAATTTTCTTGAACAAAAAATGTAGAAGGAATTGATCCACACTTCTTTGTTACATAGAAAGGTTGTAAAAATAATTTGGTCAATTGAACTCAAACATTTTCTTCTTTCAGATTTTGTAAATTTTAAAATTTTTAAATTTATATACACTGTTCAATACAATATTATCAGTTCACAACATGAAATATTTGAGAATGCAGTTGAATTTTTGACTGAGAATAACAAAATGCAAATGTAGGGACACAGAATCATGCAGAGCTGGACAATCAACAAAATTTATGGTTTACGTATATTATACTGATAATTCTTAATGAATGTTAATATTTAGATATTATAATATGTTCAGATTTATATGATGTAACAATTACTAGCCCTCTAATTGGTCGTGGTCCATCATTTGAAAAATCATACTTAGTTATGTTGCAATAGACCTTCCACATGAACATAACCATTATTTTTTACTATATCAATTTAGCATCAATTACTATTTTTTAATATATTTCGTATATTAGGAAATTCGAGTGAATATGATGTCATTTGAATTGCCAATTTGAGCTAATTAACACATTTCGAATTTAAACGACCAAATTTTCTGAACTAAAGTGATCATATTAGTGTTCTTTTGGCATTTTACATAGTTGTACCACGCTCGGTAAGATATTCACAAATCCTTTCTCCTATGTAAACGACATTAAGAAATAATTTGAAAAAAAAAATACAAATCTGCAGTGTATGGATATTTGCAAATATAAAATCCTGAACAAAGAAGAATATATAAACAATAGACAAATAAATCTGAGAAAATTCGAATTAAGTGTAGAAATGACTAAATTTTCTGAGTTACACTAATAATGTTGGCATTCTATTATCCTTTTCATAGTTTTATTACACTCAGTTAGATATTCACGCATTACTTCTCCATTTTGAACGACATTAAGAGAAAATTAGAAAAATTGGATGTCTGCCATTTTGAATCGCCATTTTGACTTATTTAACGCCATTTTCATGAAGGCCAGCATATTTTTTCGCATTCACTCGAAATAGGTTAAAAACTATGCTGGACCAAATAATAATTATTTGCTGTTAGAAGTATTTTTTTTATAAATCGGACCAGACTATCCATTGCATCTGATCCCACATCTATGTTTCGTAGGTCCTGTTTGCTCCGCCCTTATTTTGTATAGATTTATGGACTTTTGAGCTTGAATACTGTTTGTTATCTCCAGAAATTTAGAGCTTGAATGAGTGTTCTTTGATACATTTTTGTATTTCATTTGCTGTATAAAATCGACCCCTTTATTTCATTTACAGTTAAACCAAGAGTTTTGTACACGTATAAAAAATTTTACATTTCGTGGTGGCACGGACATGAATTGACGGGTCTCTTTTTTTTAATCGAGAACAACGAATACTAAACTTTAAGAAAATTAGGGATTTCTCTTAGTAGTTTCCTTTAATCTGATGATCAATTCTCCCGTTGAATTTGTATTTTTTTTTAAATTTAGTAAATTATAACTTTATTCAGAATGAAATTTATAATCAACAATTGGTATGAAATATGGACAATTTTCCCCTCTTTCATCTGACACTCCCTGCATATTTCATCCATAAATTTACTTTTTCTATATTTTATTTTCAAATTTTTTTAGTAAAGTTTCCTTCTCTCTCATGATTTAATTGTAAATGAAATCGAGGGGTCGATTTTATACAGTACATGAAATACCAAAGAACACTCATTCAAATTTAAATATTCATGAAGTGCAGTTGACTCCATTAATATTAGAGATGCAAGTTTCTATTTTCCACATGACTGCCACGTGTCAATTGCATTTCTCTAACATTTTTAATAGGTATCGATACAATAAAATTGATTGTGTTTGACCCATCACACTTACATCCCATATGCTTCGACCTTATCCAAACACGGAAAATAGCGTATAGACATGTGCTCGAAAACGTCTACTCAAAGAGGTGCACAAGGTAGTTTGTGGGCTGACAATTTAAAAGAGCTTGTGGAACAAAATTCCTGATTATTTATTATTCATGAGTAGGACACGATCCAATGCATCAAAGCGTGTCCCTAAAATTCATTGCCGTTTGTCTTCTAATTATTTCGTCATTAAAATGTCAATTGTCAGAGAGGATTTTCTAATAGTTCGGTTTCTTCTCATTCTTTTTATTTCTTATAGGTATTTAAACACCCCAGGAACTGCGTTTTGTCATCAATTATTCAATTATTGTTTTTGGTGCTTTAGAAAGAGTGAATTAGAGGCCGAGGTTATACTTCGTGAATTTGATGAGAAAGTAAATTATTTATACAATAGAAAACATAAAAGTATAAGCACATAAAGTCTAGGGCATCTATATTTATGGAAAATAGAGTACTTTCATAGGTATTGAAAAGGTTTCAAAGAGCACTATAAAAGATTCACCTCCTCTTCTTGTAGCTCATGAAAATACATTTAATTGCACCCAAATGCAAGGTCGACAAAATTTTCTGTGAAGTTTAAAGTAGTTTTCTTATTATTAAGTATCTCGACGAAGTTAA